AATTTTCCTTGCAGATGTAAAAATCTGGTTCCTGTCTATCATTTATTTCATTTCAGGGGTTCCAGGAGCCTATGTGCTGTGGTACCGTCCACTCTATCGTGCTTGTAGGTAAATTTTCTTTTGTGGAGCTAACTTCTACGTGTCCCAATGATTTTTGTAAAAATGTGTGGCAATATATGGTGATTCTGCCTATTATGATAATGACTTCAACTTTTAGAAAACATCTGTGGTCCATTTGGAACTTGGAAAATGCCAGGGGAACAAATAAGGAGGAATACATAAGGGGAATTTTGAAAGGGAAAGTGTGGGAAATAAAATTTTCGTTTGAACTCTACAGTTTTATTTGTGATATTTTTCAAAGAATCAAACTCATTTCTTTATTTATTTAATATTTTATTAATACTAAGAAATCTAACCATGTCTACAAAACTTAAAAACATTAATCGTACTTCATTATCCTTTACATTTATCAAGTTGACACCAAACATAAGAAAACAACTGTCCTTAGCATCTTTATCATTTTTTTTATCTTTCTATGTTCATATGTTATTTTTATCTTTTATCGTTCTTATGTTATAATGTTATTTTTATCTTAGATGCATCTTTATCTTATCCTTTTTATCTTACTTTGTGCATGTTTGGCAGACATAAGTCTCTGCCTTCTATCTTTTGTACTGTTTAAAAAGTTTCTAAAAGCTTTTAGTTGTATGTTTGGCATCACAATTTTTAAGAGCTTTTCAAAAATTAAAAGATCTTTTTTGAGATGCTACAGGGAGTAGCATCTGAGAAAAGCCTGTGACTTTTAGTACTAATTAGGCCTAACAGCTTGTATACCAAACAGAATTAAATCAAACAGTCAACTTTTCACCAAACAGCTACTACTTTTTATTTTTAAGATCTTTTCGGTCACTAAAAGCTAACAGTTAATAAAAAGCTCATAAAAGTATCTTTTCAGCTAGTTATCTTTTTTATTCTTCTTATCTTTCTTCTCTTTTTGGGATTAAGGCTTGGATGGTGCTGTTGTGACTAGTTCAATTTTTTTTGGCTACAGTGGTGCAATTCTTTTTTAGCTATACTGGTGCAGTTATTTCTTTCCTTCATTTGTCGTTTATTATGTAATGTGTTTTTCCATTATGTGTTAGTGTGGTTCATATATAATGGTTTGTGCAGGACCGAAAGTGCAATGAAGTTTGGATGGTTTTTCATGTTTTACTCGGTAAGTTTCTTGTGCTAAAAGTAATTGTGTATATATCTTGCCATGTGATTTTAATACCATTGATTTCTTTATGCAGCTTCATATTGGTTTCTGCATCTTTGCAGCTGTTGCTCCTCCAATAGTTTTTAGAGGCAAATCTCTAACGTAAATTCCTATTTCTACTTGCTCATTACTTAAGGGTGTTCCATGTACAATTGCTGCTAGGAAATATGAAGGAAACTTAAAAGGAAAGGAAATTTTGGGGAAAATGGAAAATTGGCTCAAACTCAATAATGCTTATGTTTATAGTTACATAGTTATTTACTTCTATTATATTTAAATAGATAAATAATTTTTAACAATATAAAACTTTTAAAACCCATTCTATCTTATTTTCCTTTGCATTTTCCAATGTAAAACCAAACAGAAGAAAATAGATTTTCTGAGCCTATGTTTGGAGCTGGGAAAATGCCTGGAAAGGATTTGTTAAGAGAGCTTATTTTCTTACATTTGGGTTTACCATAGGGAAAGAAAGTATCAATAATGTTTTTGTTACATGTGTTATATTGCGTAGTATCTATATAATTATAACATGAAAAGTAAATTTGTCAAATGTGAACCAATGCTTTATTTTCCACAGTATTTTTGCATACCAATGTTTTTCTTGATGGTCCTCCATAATTTCTTTCCCTAGCATTTTCTACATTCTCAATGGACCTTTAGAACTATTCTTGTACCAAACACTTTCAGGATCTAACCATATACTCAATAGGTTTATTAGTTAAATTTCATCATCAAAGTGTGTCACTTATTTGATGATGAGATTATTAATGTTACGGTTGTAAACTCTAACTTCTAGTTTTCCCGTCAATGCAAGGCTGATCTGATGTCATTTCCTTGTTCTGAATTTGTTTTATACAATTTTTTTGGAACAGAGGTATCCTGCCTGCTGTAGATCTCATAAGCAAGCAAGTATTGGTTGGGGTAAGCTTTGAGAACAGGCTTATCAACTTCTGCTTGTTTTTATTTTGGGAAAAAGAGTTGTAGATTTGTAGTCCCCGAGACCCCGAGTTGAATCATCATTACAGTTTTAGCAAAAAATTTATAGTCATACATGACTTCTTTTATGGAGTCATATGGCATATGTAGACATCACCATCACTACACATTTTGTGGAGATCTCCACAAAAAACATGTGTGGTGATGGTGATGCCACATAGACCATGTGACTCCATAGAGGAGTCATGTATGGCTTCTTAAAACCTCTCCAGTTTTAGTCCTCCGATAATTCAACCCCCTTAAGATTTCTCCCAAGCGCCTTAAGCCCCCCCCCCCCCCCCCCCCCCACGCTTGGCATCCCAATAGAAGAGGACCAAAAAAACATTGGGGACAACTTGCGGAGTGAAAAATAGAGGTCAGTTATCAACTTATCGGAGGACGAAAAGTGAGTTTTACACTTGTGGCATATTTAGGGACTAAAACAGAAATTTCCCCTTGCTTATTTTCTTTTGTTTTCTTCTTCTATCTTACCCCTCTTCTCTGTATGTTCATAGATTTTCTACTTCATCGGTTTTGGCTTATTTTGTCTGGAATCAATGATCAGTGTCTGGGTTATTCAGGTACATGAAGTCATGAACAAATCTAGCTCTTCCATTCCACCATAGTTTATGTTCTCATCCAGTACCCCCATAGTTTCGTTTTTTAATCTAGTGGCCGCGTCATTTTGCAGCAAGTGTACATGTACTTCCGAGGTAGCGGTAAACCTGCAGAGATGAGAAATCAGGCCGCTAGAGATGTCTTGAGGACGGCTTTTTAATTATCTATTCTTTGGGCATTTTGTTGTATCGAATGAAAGTGGGGCTAACTAGTGGTGTGGGAGGACTGGGGAGGGGGAAACCAGGTACTACACGAGTTAGGCCAATATATATGCTCGTTTTATATGTTAGTATTCGTTCATCATATTTGTTGTTAACCTTTAGACCGAAGTGCCATTAGAACAAGACAAATAGAGCTATCAATTCTGCATTTTTGTTGTTGATACAAAGGGGTTGTGTAAATCATTCTCAGACTTCATTATATGTTGTACAAACATCTTATTATCGACTTTTCTTCTAGTTTTCTATTAGTCGTTATATCTAGGGGTGGACCTGGTCGGCGATTACTGACCGGTCCGGAACCGGATCCAGCACTGTGCTGGATCACTGGGAAACCATCTCGGTGCAGGACTGAGGTACTGGGTACCAGGCGGGTGCAGGACTGAGGTACTGGGTACCAGGCGACCCATGTCCCAGTCCCTATTACACCCCATTGGGGACTGGAACTGGCCAATTTTTAGCTTTGAAAATGAAAATTAATAGAACATGATTGGGTTTGGACTGGGACCAGATTGCTCAGTTACCTAGAATCGGCCAAAACCCGGATTTATCTGGGTCTAACCTGGGACAATGGCGGACATATGCCCAATTGCAAAAAATGACTAGTGCAAAAGTGCATGTATGAGGTCGCAAGTGCAAAAGTTTATATATGTATATGAACACCTAAAATTTATAAAAATAAATTTGAACGTTCAAAGATAATGTCCATGATCGGTGCTTGAAGTTTGATTATTTTTACTATGTTTTACTTGCAAGTCTTTATTTTGTTGGGAATTTTGAGTTTACACCCCACTTTTTGGGTGTTATTGGACTTTGCACTCCATTTTCAAAACTTTTAGACTTTGCATCCTATTTACAACATTTTGTGAAGAAAAAATCTTGAATGATGTGCAAAGGCAAAGACATTTTAGGGGAAATATGGTGTAAAGTCTAGGAGTTTTGAAAATGCGGTGTAAAGTTCAATATCACCCAAAAAGTGAGGTGCAAAGTCAAAATATCTCTATTTTGTTCTATTTAGGACAAATAAGAATGGTAGGCTCTTAGTTTGGTTTTTCTTAGTTGTTAGATTCCTATTGAGAGGCAATCAGGCTGATGCAGCTGCTAATAGCCACAAATTTCTCACATTTTCAACGATTAGTCTCGCTCTGTTTGGAGTGGACTACTCTATGTTTGATAAAGAAGTGAAGAGGCAAGTGGGCTTATGGTAAGGTTGGTTTGGAGGGAGGTTAGTGTTGGATAATTACTTTATGGTTTGCAATTTCCCTAGCTGTACTGCGAGTTTGATTTAATATAATGGGTCAGTTTTGCTTTCAAAAAAAGTTAATGTCCATGATCCGCCATTGACCCGGGCTTCTCCTACCACTGACCGGTTGTGACTTTAAAGAAACAAGAAACATGGCTTTGTCATCATCTGAAACAAAGTATGTAGCAGTTACAACAACTGCTAGACAAGCTTTGTGGTTCTGAAAATTACTTGTTGATTATAAGCTTCAGCGGGCTAAAAATTACTTGCTGAAAATTACTGGCTACGAGTGTATGACTATTTATTGTGATAACAGATCCGCAACAGCAATAGCTAAAAATAATGCCTTCCATGGAGGCGCTGAACATATTGATGTGCAGATGTGCAATGCCACAGAAAAAAAGAACACAAATGGGCGGTCATGATTTCTTTGTCTCAATTTAGTATGTTGACGTGCTTCATATAATTACTCGTCATATTAGTATTACCTCCATTCTGAAAAAATGTTTCTCATATATTGACTTTTCTTGGTTAATAACAAATTTTGAACAATTATTGTCATTAACAAATTTTGAATAATTAAATATAATTATTTGTCATATATTGTACTACTTTCGTCCCAAAAAAGTTGTCATATTAACTTTTCTCATCATTTTGATATAATTTTCATATTCAAAATAATTTTGTACTGAGTATTAAAAATCGAAGTTGATTGTCAGTGGCACCCTACCATGCAGTAAAGCCACTGAGAGAAAGCTTTCATCGCACATAAACAGCAACTCTATAGTAATAATAATTCGAAATTAATTAGGCCGCTCAGCATATAATATATGCTGCTGACCAGCTTAAATATTACATTACGATCGAGTAGTAATAATTAGTACATAAGTAAGTAATTAACATACTCGCGCGGTAACATTAGTAGCAAGATGCAGCACATTTCTTGGTGCAGTCGAAGGAGCAGCCTCCGCCGCCGCCTCCGCCGCCGTAACCCTTTCCGGCTCGGCTGTACGACTTGAAACAGCTGGCAGGACACGCGAGCTTCTTCCCTTTGCACGGCCCCTTTTTGTTGCAGACCACCGTCGGCCGTATCACACCGCCTTTGGCGCTCCCGCCGCCCGGGCCTCCGAATCCGGATCCGTACCCTCCGCCGAGTCCAGGAATCCCGAACCCAGATCCGGGCCCGAAGAACGCTCCGAGACCTCCGCCGCCGTCGCCGGAAGGGGTTTGATCGGTGGGGCGCTTCTTGTCCGGGGCGTATCGGGTGGCAGAGGTGTGGACGAGGAAGAGAGCAAGGAGGATGAGTGCTGCTTTGGAGCTCATCATCTTCTTCATTCAAAACTAAATGATTTTTCTTTGGATTACAAATCTATTCAGAGTGGAGCGCATTTGCTCAGAGGGTATTAATTAATTGAAAATCGTAATCGCCCAAACATGGATTATATATAGGCTTGTTTCTAAAATGTTACCAAAATTCTCCATAAAGCAGTGTTCTAAAAGGCGTGAGGCGTGACGAGGCGGCACGTCCGAGCCTTAGGCCTTTGAAGCCTAGGCGAGTTTAGGCGGGAATTAGGCGCAGAAAGGCGTTTTTAGTTTTTTTACTAATTTTTCTAAATTTTATAGATATTTTTTTAAATATATAAATGCAATATTATAAAATATCATGCAAAACATAATAGTAATACATTTTCCAACAAAAATAAACTTCTGAATTACTAAAATGGACACCTATTATATGAATTTGGTATATAAAAAGTAAGAGTTCATAAAAAAAAGTTCAATGACAGTACAAATAATAATGAAATTGTCCGTTCAAAAAAATAATGAAATCGTTTGTTATCATCATTATCATTACTACGTATATAATAATAATGACCCTATAATATATATAATAATATAATAATTTAATGATATACTCCTTAATAAGGATTTACTATGTTGAATTTGTCGGAGCCTAGTTGACAACTACTTTTAACCTTGGTCCGGAGTATTATTTGTCTGGCCAACTGGGTTTTAACTTCATCCCACACCGGAAGGAGATGAAGCACTCCTCGTTCCAACACTCTATATATCGTGGACATCCTCTTCTTTTCCTTGTGAATGAAACTTGTGCTCTAGCGTGTCTTCGTACCGTTGGTTTGCTAATAAATGATAGTTAAAAGTTTCAATTGTGTAACACTCACGCCTTTGGTCACGCATATGCATAGGCGGGGCTTATTGTTCACGCCTTGCGCCTTGGTGAGCCTAGGCGCCGCCTTTATGAGTGTTTTAGAACATGATAAAACTTATGGATTCAATTGTGACTAAAGTGATTGTGAATGTAGTTTTATTATTTTTGTGACATAAACATTGTACTCCCGTATATTTTTATACCTAATACAAGTTATTATTTTACATTTTTGTCAATATTTCATGTTTTTGTAGAGTGCATTATTCATAGGGTTCATAATGACATGTTTGAGGTTCGACTAGTCTAGTCCAATCAAACAAATCCCTTGTTTCTTAAAAAAAACATGAAAAATACTCTTTGGACACGACAGTTTGTGCACGTCATTGTACATGTTTGTAGATGGATTGTAACTTTTTTTTATCTATCTGAATTGTATAAATTTAATCTTAAGTAGTTTGATATGGTATGCAAATGTTTTTTACAACTAGTAATGTTTGATCTGTTGTGTTCTTATCTGATCTTGAAGTGAAACATATACGTATTTTTAGGCATTACTATCACATACTCCCTCCATCATACCCTTTCTTTTTCATTTGTAACGAAAAACTACATCCAATTCTAAATCTTCACATCATACGCTCAATAATTTTGACAAGAATCCATTATTACAATTACATTTTTTGGATTTATCCATTATTCTCATCATATTCTCAATAATTTATGTTCTCTCACTAATCTCAATCTACCTATTTTTTTTGTTATGGGGGATCTGGCTTATTATCAGTCCATTATAGATAGTATTTGCGTAAGAGAAAAATAAAGTGGATAAGTTATGTAACATTATTTGCTAGATGTCTCATGTATGTTCTCCCACATCACTCCCTCTTACCGGGCCCCACCACGGTCATCAATTTGTAGACTTTTGCTGTGGAAATTAGAATACAATAAATGTGAACATAAAGTACTACCTGTAAGATCTCAAATGTATTTTATATGTACTTGTTAGTTATTACTCGACTTCAAGACCATTTTGAGTCTAATAATGTAAATGTAAGTGTTACTTGCGTATAGACTGCACCATTTCTGATCTTATTTTTCTATGAAACTACATAGGACCGCCTAATAGAGTTTTGAGACCTCTTTAAATTACAAATTGGGAGCCATCTTATAAATAATAATCTCTCAAAGAAAAGGTTAGTATGGCAATTAAGTTACATCAATCAATATATACAATTATGTTTTACGGCTCTTAACCTTTACACAATCAGAGTATATTTATAATTTTGGGGTCATATAAAAGTGAGCCATGTTTTAAGCATCTAGTCGGACATACTTGGTATTTTGGTAATCTCTATTTTCACCTTATTCGTCAACTTTTTCACCAAACATCTAAGGATGTTTTCTTTTGGATTGAAATTTGCTGGTCTGGTCTGGTCTGGTCTGGTAAACGTCTGGTCTCTGTGTATTTTATAACTACAGAAGTCAAGTCTGGTCTGGTCTGATCTGGTCTGGTCTGGTCTGGTCTGATCTGGTCTGGTCTGGTCTGGTCTGATCTGGTCTGGTTTGGGACTGAAAACGGTCCAAAAGAAAACATCCTAACTTTTGATTTCATGCGTTGATTGTGTAATATTCAAAATAAGTAAAATTGGAGTTACTTTTCAGGTTGAATTTAATGAAATGATTGTAGAAAATCATTTTAACTAGTTTTCGTTTATAAAATATAGTTTTAAATACTCGGTATAATTTTTCTATAACTCAATCATTTTAGGTAGAGTTTCACCAATTCCAACATGTTCAATCTATTAAGTTAATATCAGTATTACCAAACAAATTTTAAATTTATGTCATGTTGTGGTCAAATGTTTGAAAACCTACTTTCGAACTGAGAAAGTATATACGAAATGGAGGGCGTAATATTTATTCGAAAATATTTGTGTAGCGTATATATGGATTGGATGTCTCACATAAGGGGTGTTTGGATCTGATTTTAAAACTACTTCTACTCCTTCAGGGAGCAAAAACAGAAATTGGAGTGTTTGGATAAAAGTCCAGAAGTGATTCTGGTACTCTAATTTACTCCTAGAATCAGTTTTTTTAGAAGATGGAGGAGATAAACTTCTAAAAACTTATGTTTCTGCTTTAAAAAGTAGAATCAAATACCGATAGTTTAGTTTAGGAGAGTGTGAAGAGGGAAAGAGAGGAGTCAAAGCATTCAAGAGTGGTGGGTGGCAGTTGTTTGGTTGGAAAGAATTATTACTCAGCTACACTACATTAATATCCACAATAACATTTCCACATGGGATATAACCTGTTGACGTTTTTCAAAAAGAACGAACTCATATCCCTCACTGGCTGTATATTCATCATATATGGAAAAAACAGTCGGTACACATCTGTGTAAATAAACAATTCATCATAAAATGGTTTAAAAAAAAACTAAATGGCTCGTATATGAAGCACGACTCAATAAACTGAAAGTTATGTGTTGGGACAGTTGGGTCCAATATACCGCTTATTTTATACTATCTATCACCTTTGCCGTACTCAAATTTTTAGTATACAAAAAATACATATCATTAGCTTACTGAAATTTTGACATTTTGTATTTGGTATATCAAAATTTCAATATGGTACAAGAATGATATCGGTAAAATTTTATGTCACACTAAATTCTTAATACACTTTCTACGACCCATAAAGGTTGGTCCAAGTAAAATTGCACGTGAAAAAATAAAATAAAAATATTCACTTGAAATGACACAAGTTATTCATGGCTATATTAGGATATTTGGGCAAATTTTATGGGACAAATGAACTTATGAACCTAACAGATTATTATATACCAAGTGGAATGCACAAAACCGGTGTAACTAGTTATAAACTAATACCATTAATATAAATTTATGAAACACTAATAATAAACTATTGATGTCCTCCTATTCAGTTTTAAATAAGAATTATTATAGCTATGTTTCAATGTATCACATACTAAAAACGACATAATCTCCTGAAAATAACTTAAGTGACATTAATATAAATAAAATAATACTCCGTACTACCACTACTACGTAGTAGTCTTCAATGAAAAAAGTAAATGATTGAAACAACATTGAAAATAAAATGTAAAGCTATTTATCCTTTTTGAATCTCTAGTCATTTATATAATTTTAAAGAAATCATTTTATTAAACTTTCGGTATAGCGGTATATCAATATATTGGTTACTTTCAAAATACAAACTTATACAATACCGAAAATGTTGATATACCAAACTTGAGAATTATCGGTCATTAGTTTTCAAAACCCCAACACATTAGGCATTCGGAAATCGGAATCAGCCCAGCGCCCCTAAGTGCATTGCAACAAAGTCAATCTTATAACCCAAAACACCATAATATCAACATTTCCACTTATACCTTAAGCCTTTAAGGGTACATTACATGTTAACTATTTTAAATAACCCCGCTTATTAATGGCTCTTTCTAATCCAATATCATGAATTCATGATGTCATCACACTTTAATGATGCTAAATTGCTAACCTTGCACCCCATTTCACTTCAACAGTTCAACTTTTGAAAAGCGTAGTGATTGTAAGTTATAACTCTTGATTTCATGTCCAAATTAGGGATGGACTGAGACAGATCGGCCCGACCCGAGCATGGTACTATTTAGGTCCGGCCCGGGCCGGCCCATTACTGTATAGACCCGGCTCGGGGCCCACTACTAGTGGCTATAAGGGGTGGGCTTTGGGCTCAACTTTTTGGGCCCGGCCCTGGCTTCACTAATTTTTAATTGAATGCCCAGCCCGACCCGATACTGTTTCAGCTCGACCCGACCCGGTCCCGCTTTACCCCAGCCGGTACCAAGCCTGAATTCCTTGATCCCGAAGCCACATAGTCCCGTCCTGAAGTACGGTCCATCCCTAGTCTAAATAGCATTCAGGCATTCCTTAGATTCATCTCCTAACATGTTATAGAGTTTATAATCCATCTTGAAGTTCCTGAAGATCTTAAGTGAGCTCAATACTACCGAGTACCAACCCAAGAGGGAACGGAAAAGGAAGTATTTATTATACAAGAGGACTTTGAATCGCAACTTTAATTATATGATTATTATATAATCCATATTACTCCCTCCGTCCCTAAATAAACTTCCAACTTTCCTTTTTTGTCTGTCCGAATTAAAACTTCTACTTTCCCTTTTTAAGAAAGAATTTGTGGTTCACAACATTTCTTACATGTTTATTTCTTCTCTGCACAACTCTCCACCACACAATACTCACTATCTGACTATTTAAACTGTGTGCAAAACCTATTTGGAAGTTTTATTAGGGTCGGAGGTAGTATTAATAAAGAATCTAAGCACTCAACTGCCACGATTGGGTGCACAAAA